GGGCCGTGAGAAAGAGTATGACCACCTCGAGGCCGCCATGCCATGAGGGGCCCCGTGTCAGCCACGTTCAGGCAGCAGTCAGCTGAGCGAAGGGACCTCCAGATGCCTTCAGCCCTCAGCCTTTAAGGGTCCGCCCGGCGGAAACCTGGTCATCGCAGCGCAGGACAGAACAGTCCTGCTGTGTCCGATCCACTGCCTGACCCGCCAGACCCATGGGCATAACAAGAGGGTCCTTGTTTGGGGGCACCAAGTTTGAGGGGGTTTACCGAGCAGTGACAGATCAATAGAATACCCGTCACCATGGTCATTACCATCGTGGCTTTTTGTCCTGGGCACCACTGGGCACAGGTGTCCCTTCCATGCATTCTTACACGCCGCGTGCTCGCACCTCAGTACAGCACCCAATGTGGAGATAAGTTCTCTCGAGCCAATCCTGGTGTTTATTTATTTCCTCACCGGCATGGCAGGCTCATGGAGGCTGCACACCGCGGCTGAAACGGTAAGCGTTGGCAATGCGGCCGCCAAGTTCTTGTGGGATTTTATTTTATTTTTTTACAAACTATTAGTATAACAATCAATGTTACCGTTATCTGTGGCATATAATTGTGAGCCATATCACGTGTCACTAGCTTGCTGCTTGAACTGACGTCTCCATGAACAAGACCGTGGTGGGCGTGACCTCCATTGTAATGGGAAGTCATGGCTACTTCTGAGGACTTTCTTCTGCAAAAGCACATTTTGGAACCAGTTAAGGAGTGATGAGGCCACGTAGATGACAACAGAGGAATTGAGTATTACCTTCCTTTCCTTCCTCCCAGGCCTTAGGCTAGTCCTGAGACCCAGTAGGTACAAAGGGGGTGGCGGCCACCAAGACGTGCTACTCAGATCTGCCTGCCTTCGGGGAAGAGTTGGCCGCCCAGGTGTTTGGAGGACACTTAGGGACCACCCTCCAGCTGCGGGGCCTTTGGGACCCGCTTCTGCTTATGAATCAAAGCCACACCCTTCCTGGGAAGCCCCCATCCAATCCCTGCGCAGGGCGCCTCCAATGGGCGATCTTTGCCCTGGACCTTCCCGTCCATGAGCGGAGACTCTCCCTGACCTTCACTGTGTCGCAGGCTGCTCCTACCCAATCCTGCTTCTTCCCCCTTTATCTTCCCCGGGTAGTGTGGCCTCCCCACTCCCCGATAAGTCTCATTGGTTTCTCACTCCCGCTGAGATCTTCTTCCCGTAAGATGTCACGGACACAAGCGGGGTGCTCATCGCATTGACCTTGACTGCTCGTTCGATCAGTCTGGTTGAGAAAAGATTGAAATGACTTAACCCCATCCAGATCTAGGACACGAGGAGAGAGGGCGACGCATGGCCAATCAGGGATGTGCTTTTGAGCCAGACAACAAACCAGAGGTTCAGCCTGGAGAGGCGGGGCTTTGCTGCACCAAGCGATTTCTGTTTTCCTCCTGGCCTGGCCTTGGTTCGCTCACGGCCTCCACGTTCTGGTTGCTTCTCAATTGGAGCAGTTCTGGGGATGCTGTAAGAACGGTGTTCACTTCTGGAGGGCTGGGCGGCCGTGGTGTATCTATTGCTGCAGGCTTGAACTGCGTCTTTTGAGAATAACCTAGTGAGTGGACATACAAGGTTTGTGCCGGTCTCGAAACAGTCTTGAGCGGCTCCACAACAGCAGAGCAATTAGGGATCTTTGGAAGGCCTGCTTCTTGCAAAAGCCACGTCTTAGCCAGGAGGAAGAAGGCCTGGCAGTGATTAGGGAGCTGCTTGTTTGTTTGTTTTGCAAATGAAAATCAGAGTGTAGGAAGCTCGCTGCAGCCAGCTGCGGGGCTCAGAGTTAACCCCTTCGGGGCCCAGGGAGACTGCGTCTGCCCTTCAGGGTTGACCATTGAAGGGGACGTGCCCCATGTGGAGGGAGGAGGCGGGAGGTGAGGCAGAAGGTTCTGGAGACCTGGTGGTGCCTCCCAGGAGCTCTGAGGTCTTTAGAAAAGTGTCTTAGTTTCTCTACATGTTAGTTTCTCTGCCTAAAAAATCACAGGATCAAGCCACGCATGCTCCAAGCCCCTCTCGGTGCTACCACCCCTGCACCAGAGTGAGTTTCAGATGGAGCAGCGTGTCTTCTGCGGGGGTGACACCTGCTTGCCACGTCTGCCCCTCCACCAAAAGGAGAGCTGTTCCCTTTACCTCCGTTAACCATCGCGATGTCGATGTTACTAGTAATGACTGCTCGCTGAACGTGGGCTGTGTGCCAGGCGCTGTTTCAAAATTTTAACTGGGCTCTGGCTGGTGTGGCACAGTGGGTTGGGTGTTGTCCCACAAACCGAAAGGTCGCCGGTTCAATTCCCAGTGGGGGCACACGCCTGGGTGGCAGGCCAGGTCCTCAGTTAGGGGTGTAACCGATCGATGTTTCTCTCACACACTGAGGTTTCTTTCCTTCTCGTTCTCCCTCCCTTCCCCTCGCTCTAAAAATAAATAAATAAAGTCTTTTAAAACACTTTACCCGAATTCTTTCTAATTCTCACTGCCATGCTATGAAGTGCTACTATTCTTCCCATTTTCCTGGGGAGATAACTGAGGCACAGGGAACTCAAGTCACTCACCCGTGGTTTCATGGCCCACATGTGGTGGAGCTGGGACTCGAACCTGGGACTTTGGTGCAGGACAGCTTAGCCCCTCCCCCTGAGGTTCCCACTGAGCACTGAATTCTTCCAGGATTGCCTAGGTCTGTTAGAAGTGCCTCAAGCTTTCAGGGAGAGGGGACACAGCAGAAAAGGACATGAGGACAGTCTGAGATGGTCCCCGACCATCCCTGGAATTTCTGAGTCCTTGCACACTCGGGTCTTGGGCCTCGGTTTCCCCATCTGTGAGGGAGCCACCCTGAGAATACCCAGGGATGCTCCTACTCTGATTAGCAGATGATAAATCTCCAACTAGAGCTCAGGAACGAGCTTCAGAAAGTATGTAAACTCCGGGAAATTATATGGCAAATGTGGCAAGTAGGCATTTAATCCACAGGGGTTACAGGCTCTGAGTCCACACCAGTTTCTTAAAGGGGACCCTCCGGGAATCTGGAACACAATGCCGTGAGTCAAGACGCCTCCCAGCTAATGAATCGGGGGCGCATCACTCCTGGGGTCTCTGTCAGGGTCTTCAACGGTGTCCAACATCTGCTTATTCGGGGGGGTGGGGGGAGCCAAATAATTGGCTTCATTCAATGGTCTTCCCGCGGCCAGGAACTTGCAGCGCGGAGAGCAATACGCTGGCACCCTGGGCTCGGACCCCGCCCTGCACACAGCCTCTCGTCTTCCCCCAAGGAGGAAAGTGTCCCTTACACTCACTGCCTTCAGAGAAAGCCAGAAACATGTTGTCACCTGCAAGGATTTCCAAGTGGACCCAGCAGAGAAATGTCAACTGGATGAGGTGTGTGAGTGCGGAGCCTGCAGACACAGCCAAGACTCAGAATGTCCCCATCCAAATGAATGGGGTGTGTGTGGTGGCAGCGGGGGGTGAGGGTAAGCAGACATTTGGGGGGTGGGGGGGTGGAGTAGGCTGCTACACTAAAAACACCAGATGGAGGAGAGTCGCCCCGATGCGGGTGGGGCGCCCAGCTCCTCCCCTCAGCAGCCCTGCTATGTTGGCCGAGCTCCGAGCCTCTCCCAGCCTCAGTTTCCTCCTCTGTAACATTCCAGCCAATTTCACAGTGCTGCTGTGCGGACTTAATACAATAACTCATGTTCGGAAGAATTCAGGCACCGAAGAATTCATGTTCTGCAGCTGCCCCATAAATAGTGGGAGCTCAACATATGGGAGTCCAGACGCCCGGGTGACTGCGAACAATTCTTTTTTTCTTTCCCCCTTTCCGAGCCTTAATTTCTTCAGATGCAAAAATGAAAGTAGAGAGGCAGACAAGGCTGACCCTGGAAGCTCTCTTTTGGTTAGCACCCCCCCACCCCCGCAAGCCGAAATGAATTCATGGGAAAACACCGTGCACACAACTGTTAGGAGCAGTGACTCAGGTTCAAGGAGAAACGGCGGGCTCCCACAGACTCGAGGGACTTCCTACCACCACCCTCTTCCTGGTGATCCTCAGGGGCCAGGCTCCTGGGGACAGTGAGAAAATGGTCTGTGCGGGTTCCCTCCCCTCCCTTCCTCTGTGCGGCCATCCCCCACGCTTGTGCCACGTTTACTACTTATTTACCTGCTATTCTTCCCCACGCGAGCCCCTGCTGTCTCAAGTGTTCATTCAGTCTGAAAGCGCAAGACCGGGATGACCTCTTTTCTTTATTTTATTTTATTTTATTTTATTTTATTTTATTTTATTTTATTTTATTTTATTTTATTTTATTTATTTATTTTTAGAGAGGGAAAGGAGGGAGAAAGAGAGAGAGAACGAAACATCAATGTGTGGTTGCTGGGGGCCGTGGCCTGCAACCCAGGCATGCACCCTGACTGGGAATCGAACCTGCGACACTTTGGTTCGCAACCCACGCTCAGTCCACTGAGCTACGCCAGCCAGGGCATGGATGACCTCTTTTCATAAATAAGAGCTCGCATGGGTCAGCCTTGTGCTCGGTGCCGGGGAGAGTTGGCCTGCAGAAGGTTTTGAGCCTGAGTCCACTCCCCTCCTTAGAAAGGGAGGGTTAGCCCTGGTCGGGTGGCTCCATGGGTTGGAGCACCGTCAGGGCCACCAAAAGGCCAAAAGGCTGTGGGTTCCATCCTGGGTCCAGGCACAGGTGGGAGGCACCCCTGTGAAATTTCTCTGACATTAGTGTCTCTCTCTCTCTCTCTCTTTCTATTTCTATCTCTAATCTCTCTCCCTTTCTCTCTCTCTAAAATCCATAAATATATCCTCGGGCGAGGATTATTTTTAAAAAAGGAGGACTAGCAAGGGACAAGGAGGTGCTGGGGACACACGGGTCTCAGCGGGGCCTTTCAGGACCGAAGCAGAGCACGGCACACGGCGTTTCTGCGGCGGCCACTCCAGGTCGGCGCCCCCCCCGTGACCCTGCTGAGGAAACTCGGATGGTGGCGGCGCTGGGTTTCGCAGTGGTCCCCCAGACACGGGTCTCGGCCCTGACTTCCCGTACCCGGGAATGTGACCCTCCTTGGAAGGAGGGTTTTGCAGAGGCCGTGAAGGATCTCAAGAGAGCACCCTGGATTGCACCGGGCCCCAAATCCGCTGGTAACGGTCCTCATAAGAAAAAGGAGCAGGAAGCCGGAGACACACAGGAAGGCCCCGGGAAGACAGAGGCAGACATTAGAATGATGCAGCCACAGGCGGAGGGGCTCCTGGGACCATGAGGAGCTGGGAGGGGCGAGGAGGGCTTCTCCCCTGGGACCTCCGGAGGGCGCAAGGCCCTGACAACTCCTCGATCTTGGACTTCAGGCCGCCGGGAGTGTGGGGAGAACACATCTCTGTTGTTTTCAGCCGTCTCATTTGCAGTGGTTGGTGGTGGCAGCCCTGGGGAACGGAGACAGTCCCTAAACCCATTCCCACCATGACATTTGTCAGCATGACCTACTGAGTGATGTCCCCTCCCTCTTCTCTCCTTTGCAGCTCAGCACGGGCCCTCTTTCCTCCGAGGTATCTCCTTGGGCCCCCGCCCTTGCTCTCCCGGAGGGGCGGACACGGGGCAGGCCCGGCTGGAAGGTCACCCCGTGTTCTCAGGACCCCCCACCTTGGAATTCTATCACCCCCATCTTCCCAAGGAAAAAGACAGACGAGTTCTTCATGTTGGTGAACTAAAGTGTAACTTTTCATTGCTGTTTTCTTTTTTAAAATCACGAATAAACCGTATTTTGTGATTAAGGAAGAAAAGGCTATAATTCCAGAGCAAATCAATGGTTGGAACTTTCCAGCTTAATGTGAGCCAGATTCCTGCCTCCTCGCGATCTCTCCCTCTCTCCCACTCCCCTTTTCTCCCCTTCCCTTCCCTTGCACCAAAAGCTGTCTGCTAAACTTCTGAAACACCCTTTGCCTTTTTGACCCTTCAACTTGTCTTGAACTTCAGAAAAAATTGGGGAAATGGCACTGAGTGAACTATATATAAGTCCTGGGCGTGTGGGGAGGAGGGGGGAGAGGGGCCACGGGGGGGCGGGGGGGGCGGGGAGGAGACTCACCATGAACTTGGGGCCTCAGATATTCTCTTGGGGAAAAAGAAGAAAAAAAGGAAAAAAAAAAAAACCTCTTCTGTTAATGGAATTAGTAAATATTTGTTGCTGTGTTCTCGGCCCCGTGCCCCAGGGGGCTATCTGGAGGAAGGAAAAACAGGCAAATAAAAGTACAAGACAAGCTACTTTTCTGCTCCTTTCCCCTCTCCAAAGACACTAAACAGGCAGGGCAGAGGATTAGAATGAGGCCTTGTGTGGCTGCGCGGGGCAGGAAGCGGCGAGGGGCTTTGCGGCGGGGAGGGGGCCCGGGTGGGGGAGAAGCAGGCCCGCTATCGGGTGATGGGAGCGCCATTCCTGCTTAATGAAATGATTGCAGTTCCTGAGTTATGGCGCGGCCTGCACAGTCTCTGGCTGGCTTCCTGGAGCCCCGAGACCCCGGGCCGGGGCTGCGCCTGATGTGCGAAGAGCGTGCGGCGAGACAGACAGGGAGAGAGAGACAGAGATGGAGGGGGTGATGCGGCGCGAGGCGGAGGGACGGAGCAGAGGGGTCCGGGAGCAGAGGGCCAGAGGGAGGAGGCCGGGTGGGGAGCAGGACTCAGGAGGCAGAGACGGAGGGAGGCGGGAGGGAAGGGGGTGAGGGCTGCGAGAGGAAGAGCCTCGGTCAAATGCAGAGGTTGGGTTCAAAGGGGTGGATGGGAGAGAGGAGACAGGACGAGGAGAGTAAGTCAGAGGGCTGGACAGAGAACAGATGAAGACAGAGAGAGAGAGAGAGAGAGAGGGAGAGGGAGGGAGAGGGAGAGGGAGGACAGACATGGAAACAGAAAAGCAAGGACAGGAAGGGAGAGACAGAAGGACACACGGAGGCAGGAATGAGGAAAAGGGGGCAGGGACAGAAGGAAGCAGCACCCCTGTGCACAGGCCCAGTTACCTCTCAACGTGTCTGTCCGAGACTCCATCACCGAGACACCGCGCAAACTCCAGCAGACCCGGACTGTCAAGTGAAGATCCCATCCAAAGGCAGGCCAATAGAGAGGGCACCGGACAGCAGAAGCATGTGGGGACCAGCCCACAGAGGGCACATGTTTACCCCCCGTAGCTGGTCTCTGGCCATCCAGCAAGCCTCCGGGGAAGATCCGATTCCCACGTTTTCCGGCGGAAGCCTCTGAGCGCCAGGGAGCCGAAGTCACTCGGACGGTTAACACGGAGGGAGAGGGCTGGACTTGGGACTCGAACCTGGATTGCTCAACAATAATGTGAATGCCGGAGAAGAGAGAAGGTTGGAGGTTAACGATGCTGAGGGCTTCATTTGTTCAGGAGGAAGCTAGATAAATTATTGTATTGATTATGGTGATTCGTCATAAGCACAGGAAGAATTTAATGTACACATTTAAAGAAATAGGACGTTTTTCTATAAACCAGGCTGGGAAAAAGGGGAGGGCGCTGGGAGGGGGGCGGAGGTAAAGAAAGTCCTATCACTCTAATACCAGAAAGAAAAAAGAGGAAAAAAAAAAAACAAGCAAAAACCGAAAAAGGAAAAGAAATGTGAATACACGATCAGTCAAAATCTTAGACTCAAGAGATAAAGTTCACACTAATCAGTAATTACATTCATCCTAATGGGATTAAACCCTTCTGTTAAAAGATTTTTTTAAAAGCTGTGTCCTTTTTCTGAGACTTGCATAAATTAACACAAAAGTCAAAAATGAAAGACTGAAAAAAAAAGGAATTCTAAGCCCGCACTAACCAACTAAAAGCTGGTGTGATCACATGAATATCAGACAATGCAGAGCTTGGGGCGGGCTGGCTCCCCCTGACACCCAAGTGTGAGCTCACGCTGACCCACTGGGGGCCAGCCCCCTGGGGTCAGTCCCCCGGTCACACCTTCCCGGGGGTGGGGGGGTGCTCTCCAGGAGGGGCTGTAGCCTCAGACTGCCGGGCTGCATTTTTATGAGGCACACTTTGGGCAATTGCTTTTCATACCCTTGTCCTTGTGGCTTCACACCCTGGGCCTGGAGACCTATGTTTCAGTAATGATGTGTCACGGGAGAGAGGAACCCAGAAAACCGTCCGGTGAACCGGCGAGCTGCGTGCAGAGGCGGCGGACAGAACCTGACACCCAGGCAGGGCCGTGGGTGGGAGCAGGTCTGAGGGGTCCGGGCCAGCTTCTTCCCCGGTAGGCAGGCAATGAAACGGAGCAACTTCTTAGCAGTGAAACACAGCACGCTTTCCCGACGCCCCCGCTCCAGCCGTTCCTTCTTATTTCCTCCCTGTGAAAATGTCCAGGTTGCCGTGAGAGCTGGTAGCCATTTCCTGCTTCTTGATTTTATGAACAAGGGGGCAGGAGCTGAGCCTTGTGGGAAAGGTGATTCATTCTTGCTGGGTTCTTGTGGCGTATACAACCAAGACCCAAGGAAGTGCCAAACGTCGACCTCCCAACCTGTGCTCCTCACCGTGCCCAAGACCAGGGGTACGGGGTTGGACGGGGTCATAAAAGAGATGCGGTCAGTCACCAGCACCCGGGCTCCTGTTTGCAGTCCCAGTGCCATTACAGAGCAAATAGCCCTCGATGCCTCCGTCTCCTGCCACCTTGGGCAAGGGTCTCCCTCTGCCTAAAATGCCTTTCTCGCCCTGTGCACCACCCTGTCTCCTTGAACTCTTTCTGATTTCCAGCCCTTCCTGCCAGAAAGCCTTCCTAACCTCCAACTCTGAAGGAAAAGCCCCTTTTCTCCGTGTTATGTGTTCATTCCTGTTAAAATGCTTGTTGCTCGGCATTGTCAGGTGCCCATGAACTTGTCTCCACTTCCCCACTCCCTTTTCCCCCAAAGACACAACATCTGAGATAGTAGAAAGGCTACCTCCCGTCTCCTTCTGGCCCACATACTCAACGCCAGGCTGGGTACACAACGCAGATGGGACCCAGAATGTTGGAGGACTGCGTGGTAGAAGTCGTCTGCAATCAAGGACCTTTGCTCACGCATGCGACAGTGCCAGGGGCACTTTCATCCACCCACCACGGAGCCTCTGAGGTCTCCAGGGACTATGGGTGATCCTCAGAAACAGCAGACAACAAAGCTAGGAGGTGGCTTGAAGGAAGCTCTTGTCCCTCTGGTTGTAGAACCCTGGACGTTGCCAGGAGGGGTCTCAGGGAAGCCAGTGTTGGCCCTGTGAGCATGACTGAGTGCATACCCTTCACCCAGCTTTCTAACTGGCTTCATGTGAAAGAAGAGTCCACTATTTAAAAAAAAGAAATCCCTAAATCGCCATCAATCTGGTCCAATGCCCTCAGTTTACAAGTGAACCCTCAAGGTCCAGAGACAGGAAGGGACTTGAGGCACGTCACGTCTTACAGCCACTAACTCATTGTCACAGCTGGAGCACGTGACTTAATCTCTTTAAGCCTCAGTTTCTTCCTCTGTAGAATGGGGAGAGAGCGGACGCATCTCAGACGGTTGCTGTGGGGGTCGGTCAGGGCTGTGAGTCCCGCCAAGAGCGGAGGCACTCAGTGAGGGTCACCTGTGATGGCGGTGACCCGTGACTGCTGTCGCTGTCATCATGATTATTGTTATCAGGCATTATTCTTTTTTCTTGGGGTTTTCTTCCTCCTCCCACTCTCACAGCTGCCTGTGTGAATGCTTCTAAATAAATGGGTGCCTTCCTTTTTATTCAATAAAACACTACTTCTCCATAACAAAGGGTGCATACTCAAGCAAAGGACGGAACACAGCATCCTCACGAAGGGCTCACAAAGACACGGTTTTGTCATTTGCTCTCTGGCGAAAGACCGTAGGACTAGAATACTGACAGAGACCAGAGCGAATGCTTTCTTCTCAACCAAGCATATCCTGAAGCACGTTAGAATTTTGGAGAGAATATTCTATGTTCTCACAAGAAAGGTTGAATGGGACTATTGCCTGGTTGCAAGGAATAACATGTAAAAGCAGGATAATAATAGAATTCTTAAAAGGGTATGGATAAGAAAAAAAGTATGTGAACACTTGGTCTTTATGCTTTGACTTGGCCCCAGAACGCATCTGTTGAGAACACATCTTTTTGCGTTGCCTGAACCGGTGCTGCAATAGCTCCTTAGCATTTGATGTTAAGAAAATTCAAGATTTTTTTTAAAGCCCTTGTATGTTCTGGCCATACACTGACAAGTCATGGTGATAAACCCCCATGTGGTTTGGGGACCAGAAGGAGGGAAAGAGTGACTCTCCCAAGCCAAAAAATTCTAAAGCCACCCAAACGCGGGTGTTATAAACAGTTTGATGCCTTTCTGACACAGCCCTCTCTTCCCCGCTATATTTTATGCAGCAGAGTGTGCCATGAAAATGCACAGACCACGCAGGGGGCGTCACAGAAGAGGACCCTTCCGTTTAATATTTTGGTTTGTGGTTTGTGGGTCCAAAGTCTACCACTGGGCTTGAACTGTGACATTAGATACGACGCTGCTCTTCTCTCTGTCTCTCTCCTCATCGTGACAATGGGGACAATGATACTATCTCCTTCACTGTACAAAATAATCCACGTGAAGAATCTGGCTCAAGGCATGGCACTTAGCGAGCGTGCACGCCGTGAATGTGAGCCGTCGTCTTCCTTCTCATCACGAGCGGCATCATCGTTATCGGTAAACGCCTCTGAACTCCAGTCTTGCTCGGAACTAACGTTGTGTGTACACGCACAGCGCTTACGGCGGTGACGCTGCCCTGGGCTTCCTCCTTTCTCTCTGATTATTAGGCACGAAGGTTCTCTCTCAATCCAGGGCTCGTTCTACTCCACACAAGCAGGCGCAGAGATGCCGCGCCACCTGCCAGTGCCCCGGCCATGGAGGAAGGGGATGAAACACACCCCCACCCCCAGCAGCCTCGTTGTCCAGCTGCAGTCACCCCGGGCGCAGCACACCAGTCTCAGGCTGGACCCTCTCCATGTCCCCGCAGCCGAGCCTCAGACCAGGGACACTTAAAGTGCCAAAGTGCTCTAGGAGGAAAGACGGAGAGAAACGTCCCGCAGGCCAGGTGGGGGACTTGAACTCTCTCTTCTCTGCTTGTTTGCCCCTCCCTGCCTAGTGCCTTCCTCCCGAGCCTGACTTTTACTCTGATAGGAACTCTTCCCATCCCAGAATGAGGTGGGAGAAGCCCCCGGCTTCCATCCCACCCACAGAGGGAGGTGGGGCCAGGTGGGGGACACGGGCCTGGTCCGTGCCTTTGTTTACCAGGTAACAGTTGGCCAATCTGGACAGTCCCAAGCCCAGCCCAGATTCCAAGTGTGGATGGGGTGGCAGGTGTGTTCAAAGATGACAGCGTCCTTGGTGGGTGCCCTTGGAGGCCGCGTCCCTCAGGGATTCCAGAATTTCCTGCTGATCCGAGCTGTGCGTGTGGTCTGGGCTGCGACCACGCCAGGCTCCCTCTTCTCCCAGAGCCCTGTGCCTCCCACCGTGGGGCCACGGCCCTCCACGGCCTAGCTCTCCGAACGAGATGTCCTCTGCCGGCCTGCCATGTCCTCACCCTCCTCTGGTCCTAACGGAGCCATCGCTGTCTCCAGGAAGCCTGGCATGACCCCCTGGGTGGTGTGTTATTTACCGCCACTTAGCTCCCACGCACCCAGCACCCGTCCTTCTCAAAACCCGTCACCCTGCAAATAACTGTGAACGTGACGTCTGAGGTCCTTCCGGACCGGGTCCCGTAAGGGCAGAGACCCCGAGCGCCATGTTCCTGGCTGTGCCTGGCGCCTGGTTAAGTTCTTGGAAACTCATCAAGGATGCACTGAGTCGGCAGAGATCTTGGCCCTTAAGTTCCAGCCTCACCTCGGTCCCTTTCGCCCTGCGTGACCTTGGCCGTGCAGGTTCCCGGGGGAGCAGACACTGGGATGAAGACATTCACCGGGGATGGAAGGTCAGGTAAGAGATCAGGGTTGCGTGGCGGGACAGGTGGTGCTGTGATGGGGTCGACCACATGGGCGTTGTGAGGAAGGGATGGCCACTCTACGGGGGCCAGGGGCCTAGGCCTTAAATCCCCCGCAGAGCCAGTCTTTGGATACAGGCTGTCCTTGACCTTGAGCGAGACAGAGCTCGGCAGTTCAGTGCCATATCCCGAGTGGGCAGGGAACGAAAGACATTCCGCTGGTTGAACTTCTAGAAGCTGGGAGACATGAGACTTTCAGCCCTGAAATGGATCTGAGGGAATCATCGTGC